TTTGGTTCCATGATCAACACTGTTGGCACCAGCAGTCAGGAAATCAAAAGACAAATTGCATTGGGAAAGTCTGCCACTAGAGACCTCTCCAGAGTGCTGAAGAGCAAAGATAATCAGTCTGGAGACTAAAGTGCACCTAATCCAGGCCATAGTCTTCACAATTGCTTGCTGTGCATCCAAAAGCTAGACAATGACTAGGGATGATAGAATAAGAATTGATGCCTTTGAGTTGTGATACTGGTGAAGACTGTTGAACATACTTCCAGAAAAACAAATAGGTCTTGGAGAAGGTGAAACCAAGGTGCTCCTTGGAGGCAAGAATTTTGAAGCTCTGTCTCACATATTTTGTTCACGTGGCCAGAAATGACCAGTCCTTTGGGAAGAACATCATGCTTGAAAGGGTAGAGGGACAGCACAGGACAGGAAGACCCAGGATGAGATGGCATTGACTCAGTGACTGAAGAAATGGCATTAGGTCTGTCAGAGACAGTGAAATTGGCTCAGATAGAGCAGAGTTCAGAGCTAATCTACATAGGTTCGCTATGTACAGGTGACTTGGTGCACATAACAACAACATCAAAAGTCAGTCAGTGAGAAATTTGAAGCTTGGATTACAGAGGAAGAAGATGCAGGACTTGCCTTCAAAGAGCTTATGCTTAATGGATGTGGTTAGTAGGCACATACCTCACCCCTGATCACCCTTCTACAGCTCTAACTGATAGCTGCCCAGAAATCAAGAACTTCACCAAGCCAGGGATCAAAGCCACTAGAGAAAAAGAAGTTTTCTTACATTCAGAAAGAAAATTGAGTTTAAAAATTATTTCACCTACCTCATGAGGTCTTACACTGATCAGAAATTGGGATCATAAATGTGAAAGTATGCTTAAGTCAGGAAATACTGTTCAAGGCATTATTATTTTGCATACGTCCTTCAGCTCCATGAAAGTGTGTTGACAAAGGCATTATTTATGTATTTATGTCTTTTCAGCATTATTGGAGTACCTTCTATACTCAGGGAATGAGTAGGAGGAATAGGTAAGTATCAGGCAGAGGCACTGTTGTTGTTGTGAAAAAATGCTCCAAAAGGGAATTTATAGGATGCCAGCAAGGTGCATTGTGGGATATATTTAGCTTAGACTTGAGAGGTTGGAGAGAGCTGACTGGAACCTCTCAACCCTCTGATTTTAGGGGTTAAGGAGGCGAGGGCACCATATTCTGGGCTGAGGAACTCAAAAGTGTAAGGTCAGTTCCTTCAATGAGCCTACTTTATTCCAAGCAACTTGAGGAATAAAGAATTGTAAGACAATGCTTATGGTTGAATAGAGAGTAAAATGAACTTTAATGCAATAGTAACAAAAACAGTAGCAGCTATGTTTTAAAGAGTGCTATTTAGATGGTATACCAATTGACATATTTCAGTTAACAGATGCTGCCCTGGACATGCTCACCAAGTTGTGCCAAGAAATCTGGAGAACGACCACTTGGCCAACTGACTGGAAGAGATCGATATTTGTTCCTATCCCAAAGAAAGGCAACCC